TTATATATTTAGTTGTAATTATAAGTTGAAATTGACATAAAAAGTCAAAATAACAATGTCACAATTATTAGAAAAAAAATCTAAATTATTACGATACTAAGTCATATTAAGATTATAAAACAATTTTATAAATAGTCATATTTTGCCTTTTTATGTCATAATTTCGACATATGTATTTATGTTATAATTTTGACTTTTCATTTTGACTTACCAAAGCACTTTTTCCTTCTGTGGCAGAAATAGGCTTCCATAGACTTACAAGGGGTGGAAACATTGGGAGTCATGACATGAGAAATCAATCACACTTTGCAAATAAATGCACATAAATATCTGTTTTGTGTGTGTGTGTGTGTGTGTACATCAAAAGCTACTGGGTCATTAATGCCTTATGCACTCTTTGTTACCTTTCTAGATATTTCTCAAATTATCGATACAGTTTTTTAGCCATTGACACACTCTCAGCGTGATTCTTTTTCTCACTCCCATCACTTTAGTCGATCCGTTCACTTCATTTACATATTCTACATCATTATTTTCACTCACCTCACATGCTGCCTCACCATCTGCATTCATATCAGGCTCTGCGTCTCGGCTCAGTGCCTGGCGTTTGGCCTTTCTTTATTTTCCATATTTTCGACTGCATGATACACTGTTGTGTATTCACCTTGTGGTTTGAAATCTGAATAGTGCTGCTCCTTGTTTATGTGGCTATAAGAGAGTAGTTTATGTCCTTAACCTTTGCATTCAAAACACAGAGAGCTCTCAATTCAGGCATGCATCATGAATGCGCTCTCACATGGTTAACAATACAATGGGGCTTTCACGTTTTTTATGGCCCAAAACAATAAATAACAGCAATTATGCAATTTTTGCTCATATCTGAACTGTACTCACCTGAACTGTAAATGCCATGTATTTCTGGAGCTTGCACTTACTGTATTATAATTAAATATCAGTGATATGTATGTTGCTTAAATAAATACACATCTAAAGTGAAATGTCTGTGTGGAAAGAAAATGTTTTTTTTTTTTGAGACAGATGATGTAGTTACAGCATCTACCAGCAGGGGCACTGCCAAATTTATCAAGTTATTGTGTGCAATGACAGAAATTTGAGATGAAAATGTTGCAAATTTAGATTTATCCAGTGAGAATACCTAAAATTGTCACTTAAATGTGATGTTGTGGTCGTGGATGACGCAAGGAATTAATTGCAGCTTTACTAATGATAATGCAGGAAAATTAGAAAAACAACAATACAGAAAGAGAAATCCAAACCATAACAGCTTTGCATGAAGATAAAGAGACAAAAACCGAACTGAAACACGTGACTATAAATAAACAAGGCACTAAAAAGACACAGGTGAACAAAATAAATAACTAAAGACACAAGTAAGAACACAGAAACCATCATAAACATAAACAGGAAATAAACCAACATGAAAATGTGAATGCAAACTCAGAGTGCAAAAATACCAAAATAGATGCTTAAAATTCACAACAAAACTTTTGTACTACTAAGAGCACATCTTTGACTTACATTTGTGTATGTGGATGGACACATGGCCTGCTAAGCTAAACAGTGCGAGACAAAGCGTGTCTGTTTGCATGAACAAGTGTGCACACCAAACACACTGAGTTCTTGCACACAGATGTTCCCAGCATGCACCAGAGAGAGAGAGATGGCTCTCATCTGTCATGACAGTTTAGCACTGAGAGCTGGGACACATCACTGATGGCTTTCGGAAACTGAAGTCTGAGGTGTGAAACCTTATCTGGGGCTATTATTTTGGATGTCATGTCAAACTGCAGCCTGCTACTGTACAGATGACAGCCTAACCATTCAAAAAACGAACCTGGCCATCTGAAAACACGATTAAAACTACTGAAAACACAGCTTACAGAGCCAAGATTGGGCCTGTGCTGTCAGAGGACAAACCTATAACATAGAGAGCACATTTCTGATACATTCTAGAATTTTCTATAGTTGTAGCACTTCATATTACAGGTTTTACAACTTTTTTTAATTTATTAACAGTCGAGTCTTCAATTGCTTTGATACAAAATGCATTCTATAACCACATTCCAATGCATGAAGTGTTTTCTCACTCAAATTATGCCATTAGCAGAACTCCATGTATCTATCTTGTTTTGCACACATGTATATAACGTGTTCAAAAATATCGTATTCATAGTGTCCAGTAGGTGGCGCTAAAAGTGTGTTAATTTTTTTCCTAAAACAGGCCAGCCTTCAAGTCCTTTTTGAAATTGTGACTCATTTCACAAGACTGGCACCGGAGTGCTTCATATAGCTCAATTGTAATGCTGTACCGGGGATGCTACTGAGCAAGTTTACTGCGTCAGAAGAGCCAAACATATGGAGCTGGTTATATGACGCAAATGTCAAAATATGTTATTTTTGAAATCATGCACTATAGTAAAAGTGTTTTTAGATCAAAGCATAGTATTGCACAAGGAATTGCATGAAAATAACTTTTTTTAAATCAATAACTAACCCCTTTAATCATAATTTGCTTGAAAAGGAATCACATTTGTTAGTGTTTTACTGCCACTAGTGTTTATTTCAGCTAGAAACTGCAGTGAATTGTTTACATACGTAGGTATGTTTTTGGAGACCCAGAAATAACCGAAACTAGAAAAACTGAGCATACTGTATAAGCCGCAAGTCTTTACACTAGCTACTAATCACCTTTAAAAATGATTTTAATTCAGAATTACTATAAATTGCATAATGGCCTAAGAATATTGCAGATGCTTACTGAATATAAACTAAAGAGATCTTTCAAATTATTAGAATCAAGTCATTTAGTGGCATAATACTGAGGGTATTTCATCTTTCACTTTTCACGTCTATGTCAAGCATTTTGAATTGCCATTGTGTATGAAATGTGCTATATCTTATGTAACAATGGCTGTAAGAGGAAGTATTGACTGGAAGAACCTGTAATCGGGTCATACAATACAAGAACATACCTTTTAATTCCACGAAGAAAGGCTTTGTGCCAGCTGAAGAAAGAGATCAAGTGAGGAGAGGAATGCCAGCATTTGGGCAGCTGATTGTGGTAGTTGATTATGATGTGTATGAATAGAAAAAAAGTGTACTTAGTGTTGTAAAACATGTAAACAACTGACTATAAAAGGTGCAAAGTTATCAAATAGACTGACGTGTTCATTTTTTGCCTGTGAATTGAGTAAAAAGAAGAAATGTCACAACTCTGTGATTTTAGGAGACCTCATAATTATGTTGACAACTGCTGAAATGTCAATTTTAACATCTCTAAGGCCTATAGATTTGATCTTCAGATTAATTTTAATAATATGAATATCTCAATTAATTAGATAACATAATGACTGGAGCTTAACAGTCAGGATGAGTTTAGTCCATCACAACCTGGCAGCAAGAGAATAAATGCAACTTTTAATACATTTTATAGAAAATGCCACCAATTTTCTGAAGTTTTTTTTTTTCACCGTGAAAAAAAGAAGAAGCAAATTTACGGTATTTTTTCCATCTGTTTTATTGTCCACCAGGGGAAAATCTTAAATTTGATCACTTGGAAAATGAATCAAACCGTATGATTTGAGTTTTCATGATCAGACATATATAAGCAACAGTTGGCTAATGGTGACAAAAACAACAATACTACTACTATTACAGGAAGGGAGAAAGAAAGGCCCAAGCTTGTAATTTCTTGCTTTAAAAACACAAATATTTTAGTTGTTTATTAATCTGTCATATTAAGTGGATTTATGCTGTGCTCTCATACTGTGACACATTTCCCCTCTGCATTTGAGCAAAACACTGAATGTATCCCTGCAGGTAATCTCAGATCTCAGCTGGCTCTTTTATGAATGAGAGCTGTAATAATGAGGATTAAAGACTGAGGCATGTTTACTGTAAAAGCTAATTTGAGAGTCAGCGGGCCAGTGAGATGATGCACTCTTTAAAATACTGTAAGCTAATGTTCTGTTGTGGGAAATGTTTTTCAGTGCGAGTATAGAGGGAGAGAAAGAGAGAAAGTATTTAATTTGTGCTGCCAGGGGGAGCTCTAGACTTTTCATTGGAGTCTATACATCTTGCGGGTTGCCAGATTGGCGTAGTGAAAGTAATGTCTTTGACTTTCTTCTTGAGGAAGAAACATAATGTTTATACAAGTGCTGCTGTTTTATTAGGGTGTAAAAGGAAAAATGACATGATGCTGGTCATCTCATTTATTACCTTTCACTAACCATGAGCATGCACTCTAAACAGCGCTGGGTTATATTTAACCCAGCATTTTTTAGAGTGTGGTATAATTTGTACATCCAGCTCAAAACAGCTGATAATTCTTCACTTAATGAGTAAAAGGTCTTTAGGTATCATCATATTTCCAATAAAACAATCCTCAACTGTCTAAAATCAATTGGTAGTTCTCTAAATTATTGACGGATGTCCACATAGACATAACAGTATCTGTTGTCACAAATCCCAAATGAATGCTACTATAGTGTCTATCAATATTTGGGTAAAATTATGAAGGAATCAAACCGAAATCCTGTATGAAACATATACAATTAGACTAAATACACATTTCAGTTATTCTAGAAGCCTATTTTTTGGATTCCTGTTTGAGTCCATTTGTACACTCTAAAAAATGCTGGGTTGTTTCAACCCAGCTTTGTGTCAAATATGGACTAACCCAACTTTTGGGTTAAACATTTAATGTAAAAATGTAACCCAACAGTTGGGTTAGTCCATATTTGACCCAAAGTTGGGTTGAAACAACCCAGCATTTTTTAGAGTGTAGCCTGACGATTCCAAACTCCAAATTTAGACACATTCTTAAACCACTAAACTAACATGTACTTCGCTACATACCTATTATAACTCTGTTTGTTTTGGTAGATGGAATTGACAATTAAAAAGAGATAAACTTGTCCGCTGTTTTCGACGCGTCTCCCGTGTCGTTTTGCGGGCATATCTGGCAACCCTCTTTCAACCCTCATTCCTCTCGGTGTGTGCGCTGAGCTCGGACTGTGACCGCGCGCAGATCGGCGCATTATACCGGAGCTGCACCTGGACTTCACCAGCCACGCTGCTTTAACATACAGCTGGAGAACTTTGGATGTACATACTTATTCACCGCTGCCCGACGTTTGATCTCTTTGGGAGAAGGGCGATATGGGGACACGGCGTGCCGAGGTGGCACTCAGACTGGTGATGGGGATCCAAACAAGGAGCCTTTTTATTCCTTTTTTTTAGAAGCTCCTGTAAAACAATCGGATATCAGGACATTGATGACCCCGACAGCGTCGGTTTGGAGTTAACCTTACAGGATAGAAGGGAATTGAAGGTCGCTGCGTTGGACAAACAGAGCATTGTCATTTATTCCTGCGCGCAAGGACGATTTTCATCGCATAAAAGAGACTGATTGTGAGCGGACTGTGCGCCCGGTGCGCAAAAAGACCCTCAATCACCAAGAAGCTTCCCGGAGACGCGGGTAAGTTCAGCCTGATTTCAGTGCGCTGTCCTCTATTATTTCCTTAAAAACCAAATTCACGCAGATGCCGCTTTGCTGTTGTTTTATAAACGCGTGCTGTTTTCTGGTGTGCGCCCGCTGGACATGATTCACCTCTGCGCGCGTTTCCAAGTCCTTGTCCAATCTATAATTGTTAGAAAAATAGGCTATGATTCTCATGACTATTCTTGAGTGGCTCATGGTTTGTATTCCAAAGGTTGGTTACCCAACTGTGTGCGTTTTTAAATTCCCGTTAAAGATCATGTGGAGTGTTTTAAGTACTTGCACCGCAATGCTTCATTATATGTGCATGTGGTTCCGTTGCGCTCACCTTTTATAAATCGCACTCCTTTTACGCTCTACGCTACATTGGTACTGGATTATTGTTTTTATACATTCATTACGTAATAAAGATTCAATTTAGCGTCCTGTAGTACTTATTGGATTAAGATGAATAAAACCCGAATGGTTTTCTCTGAAGCGCGCGCAGCTGCGCAAAGGCGAACCATGCAAATTGACGCAGTCTGTGGAGAAAATGTCATTTAAAACTGATTGTGTTCCTCTGTGATCCGCGGGTTCATCGCGCTATTAGTTTCAGCAGGTGTTCTGTTGTTCGAAAACGGCATAAATGTCCATACTTCAGGCATAATGGAGCTGGCCTTTTCCAGGAGCCTCTGAAGGGACATTAGGAGCGCTCTGTTAGTCTCACCTGAACGCTTGCTTTCCTTGGAGAGCTACTGCTTGACATTCTAGAGGAAGAAGAGCGGGAGTGAATGGGCCGATGTGTTCTGCATTGATGCCTGAAGCGTTCATGTAGTAACTTTGCTCTCAGCGGAACGTTCTTGCTCCTCGGAGAACCAGAGCGAACAAACCTTCAAACTGCGTCCGATTCGGAAGCTGGCCCTCAGATGGCTTAAAAAAGCAGTATGGTATATTAGCTACCGGCTCATCGTTTTGCCTCATAAAACAGAGTTGCCAGGCAGGGAAGATGACATGCTCTCGGCTTGAATCTAAAGCAATAAAATAGATAATATTTAGCTTAATAAAAAAAGGACACAAAGGGCAATAACTATAACTTTAACTTTTTAATAATCATTTTAATTCTACTAGAATACAGACCTATAACGATAACACAGAGGAACGATATTGTGCCTTACGAAAATTAACCATGGTTTTATTGTAGTAAAACTGTATTAATCATGTTTTTTTTTGGTGTATTGATTACCATTTGTATTGTACCATTTGGTGGTTACCATGGTTTAACTATAGTAACCATGTTAAAATAAGGTAAAAGTAAAACAAAACAAACAAAAGGGGTCCTAATAGCTGTAGGAATAACTATAGTAACCCTTTTTTTTTTTTTTTTTTTTTGATTTAATTTGTAATAAAACCATGGTTAATTTTCGTAAGGTGTGCGGCGGGCGATTATAATAAAAAGAACGTTAACGTACGATGGTGTGGATGCAGATATAGTTAACGTTATAGCTATTTTTAAAGGATGATAACTATAATTGTGAAGTTTTATTAATCATTCTGATTCTAGTCCACATGACGTCTCAGGTTACTTATGTAACCATGGTTCCCTGAGTAGGGAACGACATGCACTCCCCTCAGCATGGTGGCGTGGGTATACCGTTCCCCATAGCGACCCCTAGAGGTCGCAGTTCGAAGTTCCCATGAAAGGGAACAGATAACGATAACGACACAGAGGAACGATATCGTAGTCAGAATCGATTTCAGCGTGTTTTTTTCCAGTTGATGAGTGATAAAACGTTGACAGCCAATCAGAATCCATTTCCTCGAGCATTTAAAGCCACAGTGTGCGCTTAATAATAAACATAACTCTGTAGTTACCGATAAATTATAATAATCAGAACATTATCTTGTGTTGGTGTGGATGTTAGTTTTAGTTATGTATTTATCTTTAAAGTATGATAACTATAAAGGTCCTTGGATACTGAGTCCGAAATTTTTGTATGCGTTTTTTCTTTTTCTTTTTCGTATTCGTCATCCTTTCCTATCAAAATGCTTGCAACGGACGCAGAAAATAGAAACTGATCCGATTTTTTTTTTTTTATGACAGATGAAAGTTTCGAAGTCAGTGTGTAAATTTGATTGACACAATGTGAGATTGTATTTCTTTTTTAACATGCAAAAATTTTGAATGAAAATTTCGTACTCTGTGTGAAAGGACCTTAACGATACATTTTTAATAATCATCCTAATTGTGTGAGAACAGGGAAATCCACACCACAACTATAACGACACAGAGGATTAATATCATTGGAATCACTTCCAGAGCAATTTTTTTTCCAGCTGATGAACAATAAAAACATTGACAGCCAATCAGAATCCATCCAACTTTAAAGAGCTTGAGCTAAAGCAGCAGATGGAATTAGGGCTGCGACGATAAACCGATGCAGAATCGATTCGTGGACCGATTCTGAGATCTTCCGAATGCATCGCGATTCTCTCTGGAATCGATTCTGAGCTTAGATTTTAACAGCAGATGGCGCTCTTATCTAGTTTTCATCCGCACACTCAAACACTCATGAAGAAGAGCGCTGAAGAGCGATTGTGCGTTCGGCTGAATCTGTAATTTCACCTCGGCTCAGAATGCTTTTATGATGTGAGATTAATGTAAACACAGCCCACTGTGAACACCCTTGTAACTCGCTTAAACCTTTTCGAACTTTATGAATGATCATTTTAGGTTCAAGTGTGTAAGGATTTGGAAACAAGCAGAGTACGACTGTTTCTAAAGCATGCAGCGCCATCTGCTGTTCAAAACTAAGCTCAGAATCGACTCGAGAAAGAATCGCGATGCAGAATCGATGCTGAATCATTTCTCGACTCATCTATTTATTTTCCCAGCCCTAGATGGAATAATGGCAGTGTGTGCCTATAATAAACAATGTTACGGTGCTTTGGCATTGCTCGTTATAGTTGTCATCTAGCTATGTAACCATGCATTTGCGTGCTAACAGAGCCGTCTCTCTGTCTGGCGTCCTGATCATTGATGTCATCCCTGAAGAGCCGAGCCGCACTGGGACACATGTAATGCTGTGGGTCTCAGCGCTTGTCAACCTGAGCTTTGCTTACAACGTAACCTGTCTTTGCGGATGTTTCGCGTTGTCGTCTCTAATGCCTGTGTGCGAGCGCGTGTTTGTTTTAGCGTTGACCTCATCTCTGCGGCGAGCACATGTCTGCTCTAGTGTCTGCTGGTTACGGCTCTCACAGAGCATTAGTCATTTAAATACCACCAGAAGTTCTTTACTAAGCCGAAAACACAGTTTTCTCATGAAGTCTGAGAAACAAAGCACGGCCGGCCAACATACCGACTGGATTCACCCGATACGGGCCGAGGGCTTTGGGAAATGTGCTTCCTGTGCTCTGTCTAAATGTGATTAGTTCAGTCACCCTGTTCATGTCTGCCTCACCTCGCTGATGAACCCCCGCTCCAAACCTTCCACTTCATTTTTCCTGCATTCCCGGCAGCTCCTCAGAGGCTTGATTGATTACAGAGGATCCTTTGACCCCGACTGGTCTCAAATTAAATCAACCAAACACATTAATCAATATCTATTGGGTCACGGGGTTGAATTGCAAATGTGTGATCTGCTATCAGTGTGACCTACAGCTGGGCGATATATCAAATATTCATAATACATTCACCATGATTTTGCTGGCGATGTAAAATTAAATTACTTTGAATAGCGTGATGCTTATATATGTGGTAATTGCATTTTTAAAAATGAAAAACAGTAAAAAATTGCATTAGAGTTGGTAATGGGCTATATCAGTGGATCAGTGAATTGTATGATTGTCACTATATAGTTTTGAAAATTCACAATAACAGCATGAGTAGCATTTAAAATGCAAAAAAATACTTTAAAAGCTTATAAGGCTTTTTAAATAAAGACTTTTCAATTAGGTTCCATTAGTTAGTGCATCTACTAACATTTATTAATAATGAGCAATCCATTTGTACAGCATTTATTAATATTTGTTAACATTAGTTAATAAAAATACAACTATTCATTGCTAGTTCATGTTAACTCGGGTCCATTAATAATAACATGCACTTTTGATTTGAATAATGCATTAGTAAATGCTAAAATTAACATTCACTAAGATCAATAAATGCTTTTGAAGTATTTTCGTTGTTAGTTCATGTTAACTAATGCAGTTAACTAATGGAACCTTATTATTAAATATTGTATTGGAACCTTATAGTAAAATAAATATATAAAAAACAATGTGACAACAATGCATCATAAGTGTGAGAGAGATTGCATAAATACTGTGTGTTTGTCAGGTTTTGCATGAAATATAAGAAATGACTGCAAGTAGAAATAAATGAAAATATTAGTAGTATTAATACTATAGCTAGGTGTTGAACTTTATAGAGGCCTGTGCAGATTATAAATTGTGTCATCTTTTAGTTTTAAATGCAGTTTTAAAGAAATAATGCAATAAAATGTTTCTGTGTAATAGTGACACAAGATTCCCAAAGCATATATATACAGTAAGTGGTATTGTAAATAAATCATGAGAAGTGTATGCTGTGAATTAAACAATGTGTCGCCCTCATTCCCATCAGTAAGAACATCTACATTTGCTCCAGATATTAATAACTGAACATACTGATTCTGGTCATTGCAGTGTGATTGTAAGTAAAGAAATCACAGTGCCGTAGTGAATGTGATGTGTTATGAACAGTTCACTTCCTGAAGAGGATCAGCTCTAATCACTTTCAAATGAGGCTTCTTTCTTCTCACTTGACTGTGAGGAGCGTTTGACTTGATTCGGACTCAGTCTCCACAGTTTTTAATCACATTGCTGCTTTATTTAACAAATTAATGAAAGGAAAATGGCAGATAAAAATGCTTTGCAATGTCACGCTTCATTTCAGCTCATGTAAGAATAATATCCAATCAATTTTACCACTTCATGAGCACATTTTACTAAAAATTAAAAAA